GGGAGTTCGAGACCAGCCTGACCAGCATGGAGAAACCCCATCTCTACTAAAAATACAAAATTAGCTGGATGTAATTAGTGGCACACTCCCGTAATCCCAGCTACTGGGGAGGCTGAGGCAGGAAAATTGCTTGAACTCAGGAGGCAGAGGTTGTGGTGAGCCAAGATTGAGCCATTGCACTCCAACCTGGGCAACAAGAAACTCTGTCTAAAAAAAAAAAAAAGAAAGAAAGAACAAGGTATTGCCAGTTAGTGACAACTGTTGTGTATGTAAGAAAACAAGGTGAAGGGGTAGCAGGGGATAAGGGTTTCCTTGAAGACCTCTTTAAGGAAGGGACCTGTGAGAAAGCTTGTCTCTCCTTTGGAGTAATTCTTCCTGTCTTCCTCTTTATTTTATTTTTTGAGATAAGAGTCCTGCCCAGGCTGGAGTGCAATGGCACGATCTGGGCTCACTGCAACCTCCACCTCCTGGGTTCAAACAATTTTCCTGCCTCAGCCTCCCAAAGTGCTGGAATTACAGGCATGCACCACCAAACCCGACCTTCTTCTTTTCCTTTTTCTCTTCTTTTTCTTCTTTCCTTCCTTCCTCTTTCTTTCCCCTCCTCCTCCTCCCCCTTCTCCTCCTCCTCCTCCTTCTTCTTCATTCCTCTTTTTTTCCTCCCTCTGTTGTCCAGGCTGGCATGCAGTGGCATGATCCTAGCTCACTGCAGCCTTGAACTCCTGGCCTCAGGTGATCCTCCTGCCTCAGTTGATCCTCCTGCCTCACTCTTCCAAGTAGCTGGGTCCACAGGCATGCACCACCACATCTGGTGAATTATTTATTTATTTATTGTAGAGACAGGGTCTTGCTATGTTGGCCAGGCTGGTCTCAAACTCCTGGGCTCAAGCAGATCCTCCCATCTTGGCCTTTCAAAGTGCTGGGATTACAGGCATGAGCCACCATGCCCAGCTTACTTCCTGTCTTCTGAGAGGCTTCTTGGGATTCATCCCCTGGGGATTTGTTTGCAACCACATGCTGAAATAAGCTTTTTTTTTTTTTTTTTTGAGACGGAGTCTTTCTCTGTCTCCCAGGCTGGAGTGCAGTGGTTCAATCTTGGCCCACTGCAACCTCCACCTGCTGGGTTCAAGCGACTCTCCTATCTCAGCCTCCTGAGTAGCTGGGATTATAGGCACTGGCCACCACACCTGGCTAATTTTTGTATTTTTGATAGAGATGGGATTTTATCACGTTGGCCAGGCTGGTCTCAAACTCCTGACCTCAGGTGATTCACTTGCCTTCCTCAGCCTCCCAAAGTGTTCAGATTACAGTCATGAGACATCACGCCCAGCTTCAGTACTTGTTACTTACTACCCAGCTTCTAAGATTTTAGAATGTGAGTTAACTATGACTTTGTAATAAATTACCCCCAAATTTACTAGCTTAAACAAAGTATGTATTATTCCTGCCCAGTGGCTCACAACTGTAATCCCAGCACTTTGGGAGGCCAAGGTGGGTGGATCACTTGAGGTCAGGAGTTCGAAACTGGCCTGGCCAACATGGCAAAACCCCATCTCTACTAAAAATACAAAATTAGCTGTGCATGGTGGGACATGTCTGTAATCCCAGCTACTTCGGAGGCTGAGGCAGGAGAATTGCTTGAACCTGGACGGTGGAGGTTGCAGTGAGCTGAGATTGAACCATTGCACTCCAGCCTGGGCAACACAGCAAGACTCTGTCTCAAACAAAAAAACTCACACTTTAAAAATATATATGTATTTGTTATTTATTTATTTTTCTTTTACAGATGGGGTCTCCTTATGTTTCCCTGGCTGGCCTCAAACTCCTGGGCTCAAGGGGATTCTCCCATTTTAGCCTTCCCAGTAGCTGGGACTACAGTTGCCTGGCCCTCACCTGAGCCAGTGGCTATGCTGGGTAGTTCATCCAGCATCCCTTCCAGCCTGTTCCAAGCAACCACTGATGCGCTGTCTGTCACTACAGATTAGCTTGTGTTTTCTAGAATGTTCTATAAATGGAATCATACAGTGTGTGCTTTTTGTGGCTTCTTTTGTTCAGCGTGCTTTTGAGATTAGTCCCTGTTTTGAGCATAGCTGTAGTCTGTTCCTTTCTATTGCCAAGTTTCATTCCATTGTAGGGGACACTTTGATTCATGTTACTCATCCCTCATGTGGATGGAGGTTTTGGGAGTGTTTTTATAAGAGGGCAGAGTCCAGATCCCAATTAATTACGGGGCGGGTTTCGTGTACCCTGGAGGAACCCTTGCATCACAGTCAGAAGACAGGAGAGGCTGAGTGAGGTGGCTCCTGTCTGTAATTCCAGCACTTCGGGAGGCTGAGGTGGAAGTGTTACTTGAGCCCAGGAGTTCAAGACCAGTCTGGGCAACATATCGAGACCCTGTTCTTCTACAAAAAATTTAAAACTTAGCTTGGTGAGGGGGCAGGGAAGGAAGATGAAAAAAAAATTAACAAAACAGCCTGGCTTGATGGGGTGGCCCTTAGTCCCAGCTACTTGGTTTTTTTGTTTGTTTGTTTCCTTTTGAGATGGAGTCTTGCTCTGTCACCCAGACTGGAGTACAGTGGCGCAATCTCAGTTCACTGCAACCTCCACCTCCCGGGTTCAAGCGATTCTCCTGCCTCAGCCTCCCGAGTAGCTGGGATTACACGTGCACACCACCATGCCTGGCTACTTTTTGTATTTTTAGTAAAGATGGGTTTTCACCATGTTGGCCAGGCTGGTCTCAAACTCTTGACCTCATGATCCACCTGCCTCAGTCTCCCAAAGTGCTGGGATTACAGGCGTGAGCCACTGCATCCAGCCTGTTTTGTTTTGGTTTTGAGAAGGAGTCTTGGTCTGTCATGCAGGCTGGGGTGTAGTGGCATGATCTCGGCTCTCTGCCTCCTGGGTTCAAGTGATTCTAGTGCCTCAGTCTCCTGAGTAGCTGGGACTATAGGCATGTGCCACCACACCCAGCTAATTTTTTGTATTTTTAGTAGAGATGAAGTTTCAGCATGTTGGCTAGGCTGGTCTGGAACTCTTGTCCTCAAGTGATCCACCTGCATCAGCCTCCCAAATAGTCTCAGTTACTTGGGAAGCTGAGGTGGGAGTATCACTGGAGCCTGGGAGTTCGAGGCTGCAGTGAGCTGTGAAGCTGTGATGATAGTGTCACTGCACTCCAGCCTGGATGACAGAGTGAGATCCTGTCTCAAAAATAAATAAATAGGCCAGGTGCTGTGGCTCATGCCTGTAATCCCAGCACTTTGGGAGGACGAGGTGGGCAGATCACGAGGTCAGGAGTTTGACACCAACCTGGCCAACATGGTGAAACCCCGTCTCTACTAAATATACAAAAATTTAGCTGGGTGTGCTGGCAAGCACCTGTAGTTCTGGCTACTCAGGAGGCTGAGGCAGGAGAATCACTTGAATCTGGGAGGCAGAGGTTGCAGTGAGCCAAGGTCATGCCACTGCACTCCAGCCTGGGTGACAGAGCGAGACCTGGTCTCTACATAAAAAAATAAATAGGAGGGCAGGGATCCGTGTAGGTGGATGTGACTTGGGAGGAGGCAGTGGGTGTGGGTGGATAGACAGGGAAACAGACTGGTGTCATGCCACAAGGGGTTCACACTGGTGATCACTGGTAAACTGAGGGAGAAGATAAGGCCTAGAATGATCCAATCTGGAGGCCAAAGCAGGATATCCAGTTCTGCCATTTTTCTCTACCCTCCATTTCTGCAACCTCAAATGGGCACAATTTCCCCCACTCCACCCCAGTTCACCCAATGTCAAGTTGCATTATCCGTTTCCTGTGCATGGAGGCCCCCTGAAGTTCAGGGGGGAGTGAACTGTGCATATGAGCTTTCAATAGGGTGTCGATGGGGCAGAGGGTGATGGTTTTCTGGAATAGGGTAAGGAGTGGCTGTGAGTCTGAAGGGATGAGACATCCAGGTGGAAAACTCATGGAGGCCATATGAGGAGGGGACTTGGGCGACAGAGGTGACAAGGCCAGACTCTCCTTATATGGAGAGGGACCTGAGGAATCGCCATCTCCACCTTCAGGCTCCCACCCTCTTCATGCCACAGTCCTGGAGCACAGCTCTCCAGCGGAGTCCCCTGCTCTGGCTGAAGTCACCAACAAGGCACCTTCCACTTGCTCTGGCTGGGCTGGGACACTTGTACAGGATATTCTCTGCCCTTCATGAACTTGTTTTTTTTTTTTTTTTTTTTTTTTGGAGACAGTTGCTCTGCCACCTAGGATGGAGTGCAATGGCACAATGTTGGCTCACTGCAACCGCCGCCTCCTGGGTTCAAGTGATTTTCCTGCCTTAGCCTCCCAAGTAGCTGGGATTACAGGCGCTCCCCAGCACACCCGGCTAATTTTTGTATTTTTTGGTAGAGATGGGGTTTCACCATGTTGGCCAGGCTGGCCTGGAACTTTTGAGTCAATGATCCTCCCGCCTCAGCCTCCCAAAGTGATGGGATTACAGGCGTGACCCACCGCACCTGGCCTTATGTACTTGTTTTCACACCTCCCAGGTCGACATAACCTTGTCCTCCGGAAGCCCAGCTCTGCCAGGATGCCTCTGCTGACTTGACCTCCCTTGAGCTGGGAGGGTGTGGAGGGTGGGGTGCTCTACCCTGCAAGACGCCTGGGTCACCTCTCACTAGATTCTGTGTCCCTTGTCGCTCTCCCTCCTAGTCCTCTTTTCTTTCTCTCTTCCCCAAAGTCTGGGGTCTACTCTGCATCCCTGAAATTCCCAGGGCAGCATTCTCCTAGCAGTCCCCCGAACCCCCAATCAGATAAGGGGTTTCCTGGGGTCTGGGGAACACCTTAGGGTGTGAGGGGAGCAGCTGCCCTCCAGAGACCCTGGGCGGCCTGGCTTTCACAGACGCGAAGGACAGGACAGTGCCACAGCCACTGAGCGGCCGGATTGGTTGGTGGGCCAGCGGCGCGGTGGTACCGCCTCCTGGTTGCCAGGGCCCAGCCTATCCGCGTCCAGACAGTCCTTGGTCGCCAGGTGGTTGTGGTGTTGGTCGGGGCAGGTGTATGTGTTGGGGAGGACAGTGGAGGACCCCAGGGATTTGCTCCCAGTCCCAATCGTTAACTCTCTGGGGTCCTCAGGCGCAGCAGGGGAAACAGGCTTCTCCCGGACCGAAGAGAAGCCGTCCCTCTCTCCAACGTGCGCTTCTCCCCCATCCCCCTTGGCGCGCTTCCGCCGGCCGCGCTCCCGGATCGAGCGCGCGCCCCCGGCTCCCCCGCCCGCGCGCGAGGGGCGGGACCGGCTCGGCTACCCCGGCGCCGCCGCCTGCAGCCCCCTCCCCTCGCCTCGCCTCCTCGCCGCTGGCGGCCGCAGCATCGCTCCGGCCCGGGCCCCACCCCAGGCGACCCTGCGAGGAGGAGCGGCGGGAGGCCGGAGCCAGAGGTGAGCGCGACGTGAGCAGGTGGAGAGGCCGGGTGCGGGCCAGGCCCGGCTGGGGGAGGGGTCGGGCCCGGACGCAGCTCTTTGTCTCCCGGAGCCCGTTCGCGGGCAGCGGGGCCGCTCTGCCTCCCGGCAGGTGCAGGCATCCCTCGGGAAGGCCGGGGGAGGCCGCTGAAGGGTGGCGGGGAGACCCGAGCGTGCACTTCGGTCTCCCGCATCTGGAGCTTGTGGTAGTCCCCTGCTCTAGAGGCTGGCGGTATGGATCCCTGAGGGGGCAAGGGGTAGGAGTGTGGAGGTCGGTCCTGAATTGGAGCCGAGGCGGGGGAGGCGGGGAAGGCGGCGGGCTGGGGTGGGCAGGGCCTCTCCGCTTTGGGGAAAAGTGGTGGGGGTTGGGACTTGGGGACAGCGAAGAGCAGCGGGGCTGGTGAGTGGGTGTGGGTGTGTGGGAGCAGAGCGGATGGAAGCTGAGGCCGAGGTTTGGGTGTCCATGGTTGGCGATGCTGGGAAAGGGCATCGAGGTGCCAGGGTCCAGGTGTCTGGAGGCGGCATAGCTGTCCAGGACCTGGGATGAGGACCGGTTTGTCTCTTCAGGTGCAAGATGGACAAGAGGGACAAGGTGAAGGCAGGGGGCGCCGCGCGGACACCAGCTGCTCGCCTTCCTGGACTTCTGACCCCCAGGCCTCCAGGCTCTCCTCGACCCCCTCCCCCAGTAACCCCCGCAGCCCTCCGAGTTCTGGGAGCTGCGGAAGCTGCGGGGCGAAGGCGTATGGCAGAGAGAGCTGGGGGCACCGGCGGGGCCACTATTCCCGAGTCTGCTCCCAGGGCGGGACCAACTCGGAGTGCTGGGACAAGTTCTCGGAACCCAGGTACCCCAGCCTCCTTCCTCAGCTCTGACCCCATCTTCCCTCCCTATTGCTCCTACTACCTGCCCCGTCCCCCCTCCACCAGCTTTCTGGGGCACCTTTGACTCGGCCTTCTCCCCGCAGCCTCCAGACCCCCACCCCCTGGGAGGGGCGATCGTGTTCCTCCTGCCAAGAACACCAGCCCAGGTCCTGTTTCTAGCCTAGGGCGTGCCAGTGGGACCACCAGGTAATGTGCTCCCTCTCCCCAGTCCCCTAAGCCAGGGTGAGCATTACAGAGTCTGGAACCTTTTATTTTACACAAGTTGGGGCATGGGAGCACTTGTGTCCAGGTCACTGGGCACAAATAGGGTGAAAGCCATTATTGGTCCTAGAGAGGACGCATGCCGATTTCACAGATGGGAAAATAGAGGCTTGGGAAGCCAAACAAGGACCTAGGGCTCTACCTTGAGCGTGGCCCCTTCTGTCTCCAGGCCAGGCCCTCTTGGCCAGAAGGGACTCCGGACCCCAGCAGAGGAAACTGTGGCCAGAGGAAAAGCTACGGAGGCTCCCAAAAGGAGTGCCCTGAGCGCTGGGGCACGGAGAGGTATGTGACCTGGAGAGGAGTGGGGTTCCTGGCAGCGAGGGGGGCCGGCTCAGAGGTATCGGTGACCCTTAGCCTTCTACTTTTTCTCCAGACACTTCTGGGCCTACCCCAGGAACCCCCTCCCCGGCCATGGCCCGTCGGTCCCGGGCTACGGGCACCGAGGTGGGGCTCCCCCGGCCAGCTCCGAGTGCCCGGCCGCGGCCCTCAACAGAGGGTCCCCGGAAATCAGTGAGCAGCGCCTCGGAGCACAGCACCACCGAGCCAAGCCCCGCTGCCAGGAGGCGGCCCAGCGCCGGTGGGGGTCTCCAGAGGCCGGCCTCCCACCCCCTGAGCTCCAGCACCACCCCTCTCTCCTCCCCAGCCCGTTCTGGGCCTTCAGCCCGCGGAACACCCAGGGCTCCTGCGCATCCCTCGCAGCCCAAGTCGAAAGGGCTCCAGGCCCTGCGTCACCCGCAGGCCACACCCTCAAAGAAGGACTCAGCCCCAGCACTGGGCCCTCTTTCTTCCTCTCATTTGGCCACACCCTCTCCACCGGGTACCAAAGCGAGGCCCATACCACCTCCCTGCAATGCAGCCACTCCCCTGCCAGCGACGTTCCCTCCCTCTCCACCGGTCACTCCCCCTCCGCCAGCCCTGTTCCAAAGTCAGGCCCTGCCCACCCCGCCGGCCGCGCCCCACCCACAGAACCTTACCTACCTGCTGGCCACGCCCCTTCCTCTAGCCCCTCCTTCTCCCTCTGCTCCACCCTCTCTACAGACCCTCCCCTCTCCACCAGCCACGCCCCCCTCGCAAGCTCCACCCACAAAGCCGGTTACATCCTTTCCAGAAGCAGGCGTGTCTCCCGTGGCCACAGGCGCTCTTGTGGCTCCATTCTCGCCATCAGTTTCATCCCCTCTGCAGAGTATGCCCCCCACCCAGGCTAATCCAGCGTTGCCCTCTCTTCCGACTCTCCTCTCTCCCTTGGGCACACCTCCTTTGTTAGCCATCTCTCCTCTACAAGGCCCTGTTTCTCCAGCAACATCTCTGGGGAATCCGGCCCCTATCCTGGCCACAATCCCTCGACCAGGCCTTTCTGCTCTGACCACGTCCCCTCCGCAGGCCAGTCCTTCCCCATCGCCCCAGCTTCCCCAGGCCACGCCCCACACTCTGGCCACTATTCCTCCGCAGAACTCTCCATTTCTGGCCACACTGCCTCTGCAGGCCTCTCCCTCTCCTCTGACCACAGTCTCTCTGCAGGATCCTCCTCTAGTTTCTCCCTCTCTTTTGGCCCCACTGCCTCTGTCGGCCCCGCCCTCACCCCTGGCCCCACCGTCTCTGACCACGCCCCTTATGCAGGCTCCGCCCTCTCTCCAGACCATTCACCCAATACAGGTTCCACGTTCTCTGACCTCACTGTCTCTGCAGGCACCTTCCTCTCCAGGTTTGTCATCTCTGCAGGCCACAACTTCTTTAGGCTCACCCCGTCTGCAGGCCGCACCTTTCCTGACGATGTCCCCTAGTCAAACCCAACCTTCTTTGACCTCGCCTCCTCGGCTGGCCTCTACTCTTCCTGCTTCACCCCCTATGCAGGCTCCATCTTCTCTTGCCTCCCACCCTCCTCAGGCACCTCCCTCTTCCCTGATCACGCCCATTATGGAGACCCAATCTTCCCTAGCCCCGCCCTCTCTGCAGACAGCTTCTTCTTCCCTGTCCACACTCCATCTGGAGATTCCACCTTGTCCAGCTCCACTCCGTCTGCAAGCAACACCTTCCCCATTGACCACGCCCCCTCCGGAGACTCCATCTTCCATAGTCCCGCCTCCTCCACAAGCCCCACCTGCTCTAGTCTCACCCCCTTTGGAGGGCCTGCCCTCTCCCCCTCTGTCCCCTTTGGCCACGCCCCCTCCACAGGCCCCACCTTCCCTGGCCTTGCCTCCTCTGCAGACCTCTCCCTTTCCCCCTGCCTCACCTCCTCTGTCTCCCTTGGCCACACCCTCTCCACAGGCCCCAACTGCTCTGGCCACGTTCCTTCTGCAGGCCCCTTCCTCTCTCCCTGCCTCACCCACAGTGTCTCCTTTGGCCATGCCCCCTCCACAAACCCCACCCCCTTTGGCCGTATTTCTGCAGGCCCCACCCTCTCCCCCTGTCTCTCCCACAGTGTCTCCTTTGGCCACGCCCCCTCGACAGGCCCCACCCCCTCTGGCCGCACCTTCTCTGCAGGTCCTGCCCTCTCCCCCTGCCTCACCTCCAATGTCTCTTTTGGCCGCGCCTCCTCTGCAGGCTCTTCCCTCTCCCCCTACCTCACTCCCTGGGCAGGCCCCTTTCTCTCCCTCCGCCTCACCCACAATGTCTCCTTTGGCCACGCCTCCTCCACAAGCCCCACCCACTATACCCGCGCCCCTCCTGCAGGTCCCTCCCTCTCCGCCTTCCTCACCCACCCTGCTGGCCCCACGCCGTCCCCCAACCCCGGGTCCAGATACCTCTGTCTCGGGTCCACGGCTGACCCTGGCGCTGGCCCCTGGCCCGCCGCCGCCGCCCTCGCGCAGCCCGTCCAGCACGCTGAGCGGCCCGGACCTTGCCGGCCACAGCAGCAGCGCCACGAGCACTCCGGAGGAGCTGCGTGGCTACGACAGCGGGCCCGAAGGCGGTGCTGCAGCCTCCCCGCCTCCCGACGCAGAGCTCGCCGCCTGCCACCCGGCCTCCTGGAGCCGAGGCCCCGCTCCACCGCTGGCGCTCCGCGGAGCCACAGGTAAGAGGCACCTCAGACCCGGCCTGGCTGTGGGTGGGGTTGGAGGCGGGGCTTCTCAGCTCGTGGTCGGGACAGCTAGGTCCGGGGCGGAGCTTAGGCAAGGGGGCGTGACCTTGATACGGGGGCGTGGCTTATCACGCCCAAGGCCCACCTGGCGTCTCTCCCCGCAGGTGCGCAGCTGCCTTGGCCTCCCGCTGCCGGACCAGGCTCTGCTGAGGGTCTGTGCACCATCTACGAGACTGAAGGGCCCGAGTCGGCGACCCCCGCCTCAGGCGCCCCGGATCCGGGGCCCGCACCCGGGCCCAGCGCGGGCGGTGGGAAGGCGGCGGCAGGGACCGGGGCGGCGGCGTCCTCCCGGAGCCCGAAGCAGGCGCGCCTGGGCGAGCTGCCACTGGGGGCGCTGCAGGCGAGCGTCGTGCAGCACCTGCTGAGCCGGACGCTGCTTCTGGCGGCGGCCGAGGGTGCCGCTGGCGGCAGCGGCGGGGACCCAGGAGGCGCGGGTGGTGGTAGCGTCACGGGGAGCGCCCGAGCTGCACTCAGCGACGCGGAACTCGGCCGCTGGGCAGAACTGCTGTCTCCCCTGGACGAGTCCCGTGCCAGCATCACCTCGGTCACAAGCTTCTCTCCGGACGATGTGGCCTCCCCGCAGGGTGACTGGACCGTGGTGGAGGTGGAGACCTTCCACTGAGCCAGACCACAGCCCCGCCTGCTACATCCCACCCCTGCTTTAGGATCTGATCCTCCGGCTACGCCTGTTTGTCTTAGACCCCGCCTCCACTGCCCTGGAGAAACGCTCGGTGGATCGGTCTCAGCCCCCTAGAGCCTGAGTCTTTTGGCCCAAGCTCCACCCCTGCCTTTGGCCCCGGAGGCTTGAGACCTACCCACAGCTTTGACCCAGGCCCTCCTCTCGAGCTCCGCCCATTTGGTCTAGGACACACCCCCTTCCCCGAGCCCCGCCCCGTGTCCCCTGTATTGCCCATCCCGCACAACCTGAGTTTGCAATAAAACTGGGACACCGGGGCCTGCACACCTTCTCTGTTGCCTCGAGGGCCGGGGTTGGGGGCCTCCAGGGGTTGAGCGGCGCGGGAGACCAGGCCAGGTAAGGCCTTGCTGAGGGCTGTGCGAGAACCGGTTGGAGCTCTGGATAAAGAGCGGCTTTCCTCTTGTGGGAGAGAAGGGGCAGGCCAGGTGGGGCTACTGCAGGTCCCTGCGGAGTCCGAGCCATCTGGTGCGATGCACCCATCCGCGTGCGTTAACTTGGGCTTCTTGGTGTCCGACTTCCGGTGGAAACCTTTGGCGCTGGAGGGGCCTGGCTGGGGCTGTGCGCTAAAGTAGATGAGCCAGTGTGTGGCCGAGGTGAAGGAGTGACTGGAACACTTTTCTATTTTATTTATTTATTTTTTATTTTATTTTATTTTGTTTTTGGGACTGAGTCTTGCCCTGTCACCAGGCTGGAGTGTAATGGGGCTATCTCAGTTCACTGCAACCTCTGCCTCTCGCGTCAAGTGATTCTCCTGCCTCATTCTCCCAAGTGGCTGGGACGCACGTGCCACCATGCCCAACTAAGTTTTGTATTTGTAGTAGATACTGGGTTTCACCATGTTGGCCAGGATGGTCTTGATCTCTTGACCTCGTAATCCGCCCACCTCGGCCTCCCAAAGTGCTGGGATTAGAGGTGTGAGCCTCCATGCTTGGCCTATTTGTTAGTCTTTTGAGACGAAGTTTTGCTCTGTTTGCCCAGGCTGGAGTGCAATGGTGCAATCTTGGCTCACTGCAACCACCACCTTCCGGGTTCAAGTGATTCTTTTGCCTCAGCCTCCAGAGTAGCTGGGATATAGGCACGTGCCACCACACCCGGCTAACTTTTGTATTTTTGGTAGAGACACGGTTTCACCATGTTGGCCAGGCTGGTCTCAAACTCCTGACCTCAGGTGATCTGCAAGCCTCAGACTCCCAAAGTGCTGGAATTATAGGTGTGAGCCACCACACCTGGCCTGGAATACTTTTCAAACTCGATGCAGGGAACTGGCACTCCAGGGGAACAGGTGGGAAGCTCGGAGAGCACCGAGGCAAGGATGCAGGCCCCTTCCTATGTCCCCTCGGTGGGTGTAGGGTCCCGGGACAACTGCTCTGGTAGGGGATTGCAGGACAAAGTGGCCTCTCCCAGGACTGGGTGGGAGACGGGGTAGTCCTCACATTGTACCTTCTCTCCTGGTGTCCTCAAAGTGCCACATGGGGCATCCCACCCCCACAGGCGTCCTTTCCCTGTTGCCTTCCTCAGGCATTATCAGATTCCCAAATGCCTAATCAGTTTCCTGCCCTTCTTCCCCCAACTAACCCCAACTCTAACCCCCATCTCAGTCACCTTGACCCTGGAGCCTCTGAGCCCGAGCCTGGTCTCTCCCTGTTCCCAACTGCCCTGACAAAGACCTCCCCAATAGGCCTTTCCTCCCCTCCCCCCCTCCCACCGAGTCTTCTGCATGGCACCAAGAATGATGGCACATCCCCAGGCGGGTAAGAAGACAGTGGGATCTGGCATTGCGCCCTCGGCCCTGCCTCTGCCCCTGGACCCAGTACCCTTATGCCCTCCTATGGCCCAGTTCCTGTCAGTCACAGACCAGCAAGCTCTGTCTGTCCCCATCCCAGAGATGGGGATGAGGAGAAATGGGCTCTGGCCTGGAGGGGTGCTGCCACCTGCACCCCTGGGAGCTAGAGGAGGAGTACACCAGCACAGTTCCTCGGTCAAATTCAGAGTTTTGTGGCAAATCATAGAGGGGTCCTCTCAAGCTGGGCCCTGGTGGGGGTGGGGACCTGGGTGTCCTTGTTTCCAGACTCTGGAACAAGCCCAAGGCTGACTCCTGACATGCCGGGCATCCAGGGGCTCAAAACCAGCTGCCAGGAAGGACAGGGAAGAACCTCAGACTGTTCCTCTGGGATCCTGCCCCAACCTGGGGAGCCAGCAGGGGTAAAATTACCGTGGGAGCAGGAGGCATGGACAGTGACTGTCAGGGTCTCAGGGTTACATCTATACCATGTGTGTGGCCAGGAGAGCTGTCACATGATAGGACAGTGCATGGGACAACCAGGGTCATGTCCTCTGCTTGGCTGTCATGCAGGCATGGGGCACTTGGCATGGGGGCAGGGGTACTTTGTGGGCCCACACTGGGTGCAGAGGGCAGGCCCTGGCTGGCATCTGCCTGAACCCAATTAAGCTTCTGCCTCTAGGGACCAAGCTGGGTGGCTCATGCCTGTAATCCTGGCACTTTGGGAGGCTGAGGTGGGTGGATCACCTGTGGTCAGGAGTTTGAGACCAGCCTGGCCAACATGGTGAAGCCCCATCTCTACTAAAAATACAAAAAAAAATTAGCCAGGTATGGTCACAGGTGCCTGTACTTCCAACTACTCAGGAGGCTGAGGGAGGAGAATCACTGGAACCCAGGAGATGGAGGTTGCAGTGAACTGAGGTCATGCCACTGCCCTGCAGCCTGGGCGACAGAGTGAGACTACATCTCAAAAAAAAAAAAAAGTTTCTGCCTCTAGGAAGCTTTGCCTTGCCACTCCTGGCCTGGCTCTGTCCTCCACCCCCTCCCTACCACTGCTGCCCAACAGCTGGGACTCTGCGAACCTCTGTGGAGAATCCTACAAAGGACTCTTTCTGTCCCCCACCCACTGTCCTCCCTGCACTAGCCTCCCTCACAGACTCTGTGGTCCATCTGATGGGGCCCTCTCACCTAAGCCCTCCATGGGCTCCCCATAGCCCCCAGTCCAAAGCCCAAAATCCCTCTCCTGATGTGAGCAGTCCCTTCTTGATCTTGCACACCCAGGCTTTCCTGTTCCTCCTTCCTGGGAACCGTATGCCTCCTGCTGGTTTGATCTTCATGCTTTTCTCCCTGGAAGAGGTCCTGACACCACCTCCTCCAGGAAGCCTTCCCTGATCTCCCTGCACATTTGTCTATTGAGCACTTACCACATTAATGCAAGCTCCCCCCTGCCCAGTGCTTGTCTTCTCTGCTCTACTAGAGACACCCTCAGAGCCAGGCACAGGGCAGAGCACCCCAGGACGCCCCTGGAAGTGTGAGCAGAATGCATGCAACTGGGTCCTGGGCTTCCTGAAGCCCAGCAGTTCAGCGTGCCTCTCTCCTTCAGGAGAGGCCCAAGTTGATTCACCAAGGTGGGAAACCAGGCCCTGCCCCCAAACCGAATGCCCTTCTGTCTTCTCCCACCCCCATTCTATGAGACTGTGAGGAGCTCATCCCTTCCCTTGGCATGGTTTTCTGTCCCAGGGCTGGGGACCCACCGCTGCTTGTGATTCTCCTTCCAGCCCACAGGCCAGTCTGTGACTCTGTAAATACACTTTATTTTCCATCTTTCCTGCCTGGGCGACATGTGGAGTGAACAGGCAGTGTGCAAAATGGTGGTGGGCAGTGTGGGGGACGTGTGGGAGAGCCCCGAGGGTGCCTGCCCCAGTCCCCAGGCTTCATAACACTGAAGAGTGGGCGGCCAGGAATCGGGGACAGAGCAGGGGTCCCCACCCTAGGAAGCGCCAGGGAGATTGCTTGTGACGCTACTCTACTGGAGGCTCCAGGAGCACCGAAGGGGTCAGCCCCCAGGGTCACAAGACCCCGGGGGGTGGGGAGCAGGGAGGAAGGGGCCTGGGGGGCATCGTTGGATTTTGGCACCGTTCTCAGCTCTGATTCAGCAGAGACCACGGGACCACCAGGAGGAGGTGAGGGGAGGCCGCTCCACTGGGAAGGTCCTGCCCGGGGGCCTGGCCCTGGCTGAGGATGGGGCTGGGGACACAGGAAGAAAGGGAAGTACTACTGATGGAGGCCAAGGACCCCCACAGAGATACCCCTCCATCACTGGCCAGGATAAGGGGCGCGAGTGTCTCCCAGAGGAAGATTTAGGGTGCTGGGGAGAAGGGTCTCTTCACTTCCTTGAAGCTGCTCTGGCCCCAGAGAAGCAAGGAGACTTCCCGCTGGCCACCCACTCCCCAGGCGGCCCAGCACACAGTAGGGGGGACTTTGGTTTCTGCTGCAGGGGCCATGGTGCCTGCACCAGGCAGGAGAGGCCGGCCTGGCCTTCTGTCCCCAGCAGCCTGATTCCCCTAGAGACGGCCAGGGGCTAGTCAATGGTCACCTCCTTCCAAGGAGTGTCGTGGGGTGCTGATGTCCAGCCCAGAGCTGGCGCCCTCCTTCCTCAGGCCTCATCTAGCTCCTGGGTGCTTCCCAGTTGTGCCGCCCCTGTCCCAGAAGGAAGCCTGCTGGGAGGTGGGAGCTGCCTGCTCATTCAGTGCTGGGACCTCTGGGTCGTCTGTCCCCAGCCCTCTGCCCTCCTGTTAAGAGGGCAGTCAGCCCCTCCAGGCACCCATAGAATGCCAGAGGGCCCGGAGGGGTACAGACCAAAATGGGTAAACACTGCTGAGGAGGGAGAGCCTGCCCTGGGGTCCTAAGGAGCCCCAGGCTGGACCCTGCCCTCTGCGCTGCCTCACCGGGCCTCGCTTTAGGGGTGGCAGAGCCACAGAGGGCACGGAGTTTGTCAAGTGCGGCAGGTGGGGGGCAGAACGCGGACCGCCCGGGTGCCCCCCTGGCTGCGGCCTCCCGCCTCCGGGCGCTCGGGGCACGGACTCAGTTGTCCAGGCCCTGGCTGTAGGGCGCGGCCAGCTCATCGGGGTCGCTGTCTGAGCTGCCCTCGCTGTCCTTAGCCGGCCTTTCCAGATGGCGGAAGAAACGCGCATCGCGCGGGGACAGTGGATACAACGCGTCCTGCAGGGCCGCGCCCACGCCTACGCCGAGTAGCTCCTCGTCTGACGAAGGCAGCGAGTCCTCGTCCAGGTGCCGCGCCAGGTTCAGCCCATCGAAAGCCAGCGGGTCCTCGAAGGGCGGCGGGCCCTTCAGCAGCCGCACCTGGGGCGGGGGACGGGCGCTGCAGGCGTGGACCGGCCTTCTGTCCCGCCCTCCCAGCCACATCCTCTGCAAGGCACCGGCGTTCGGCTCGTCCCGGGCCGACGACACCCAGGCCTGTCCCCGGCATCCCCGAGCCGGCTCACCTCGGCCTTCAGTTCCTCGATTTGGTCCTTGAGCTCTCGGATGTACTGCGATGAGTCTGAGTGGTTCAGCTGGCCCTGGATGCGGCCTTCCTCCCTCTGCCGGGTGGGCCAAGTCACGAGGGGTCAGCGCTAGGCTGGGCCGGGGGTCCGGCCCAGTCCCTGACCCTGGTCCCGCCCTCGCCTCTCACCTGGATCTCCAGCTCAGCGATGCGCTGCCGCATCTCGGCCACCGCAGCCATGCTGTCGGCCTCCCGCAGTCGCACCGCCATCACCTCCTCCTTGCTCTGGGGTCGGGGAAAGGAGAGCTGGTCAGTGGGCGGAGCGAGGCCGCGACGAGGGGCGAGTCAGGGGGCGGGGGCGCAGGCGGGGCCGCGGGCAGGGGCGGATCAGGAGGCGGGGCCACGGGCAGGGGCGGTTGGGGGCGGGGCCTCATGTAGGGAAGCGTTCGGGGATGGTGCCACCGGCAGGGCGGGGCCCGGGGGAAAGGTACCTTGCATTCGGCCTCGGCCTGCTTGCGGCGGCTTTCGCTGAGCTGCGTCTGCAGCCCCTTGTTCTGTGCAGCCAGGTACTGCAGCTTCTCCTGCAGCGCCGCGCGCTCCGCCTCCACGCGGTTCAGAAGGTTGCGGTGGATGTGGTCCTGGGGGTGGGAGGAAGGGAGAAGGGAGGACAGCGGTGGTCAGAGCCTAATCCAGGGGCCTGCCACTGACACCATGCCGCTCCCCCGACGGGCAGCCCCGCCACCCCCAGCCCACCTGCGTTTCCAGTTCCACTACGCGCTGCCGCAGCTCACGGCCCTCGGCCTGGGCCTGGGCCTCGCGCAGACGCACGCTCATCAGTTCGTCCTGCAGCTCGCCCAGGACCAGCTTCCGTGGGGACTCCTTCCAGCGGCCGCCGCGGGCCAGATGGGCCTGGGGGGTGATGTAAAGAGGCCGGCGGTCAACCTCCGCCCAAGGACCCCGAGGGGACCGCCCCAGGGGGGTGCTCTGTCTGCCGGCGCCCACATGGCCCTCACCTGCCAGGTGTCCGAGAGCTCCTGCAGCTGCAGTTTCAGCTCCCGCGTCGAGGCCACCGCCTGGCCCTCTCGCACCTTGAGCGCCTTCAGCTCCTCCTGCAGCTGCGCCACGTTGTTCTCGTCGGGCAGCGAGCTATTCCTCTGCGGGGAGAGAGGGGTCAGGGCCTGGCGGAGCAGCGCAGCCGCATGGCTCTTACTGCAGGACCAACGTCCCCAGCCACATTTCCTTCTGAGCTTTGCCTTGGGCGGCTCAGATGGTGGAGGGCGGTGCCCTGGACAAGGCCCACAGGGAGCGGACCCGCCTGTGGAACCTGGCTGGAGCTCCTCGGCTGTAAAATGGGTGTGGTAATAGCACCTACTCTCACAGGGCTGTCCTAGGGCAACTCCCATAAAGGGGCGTCCTGCACACACGTGACCGCTAAGAACAGCCAGGTCTGAGATCCATCCCCTCAGGGACATGATCAGATGGAGGACCTGCCCCAGCAGAAACACCATCTGCCCTCCAGCCCCCAGGCCAGGCCACACCAGGCCAGGCAGTCCCTCTTCCTGGGAACAGGCTCCATTTTTTAAGATGGAATCTTGCTGTCCTGGCGTCCCAGGGCTCAGTGATGGACGATTTGTGCTTCAGGACCCAAACCCAGCTTTCTGGATGAGGTCTGCACTGTGTTTGGGTCTAGAGCTGGGACGGATCTAGCAGCGTGTACTGGAGGCACACTTCCCTGTGAAGTGGAGGGAGGTGGGAGGGGAGCCTAGCTCTTGGCTGGTGATGGAGGCCTGGAAGCAGATGGCCTCTCAGTCCTTGATTTGGGAGGAATCCCAAAATAGTGCAGGCTTGAGGGGGTGGGGCATGGCTCCTGCTGAATGTGCAAATGGGTCCCTGGGTGCTTTCCTTCCTCTGGGAGCTCTGGGGGAGAGTAGACTCAGTGCCAACTTAGAGAGCAGTTTGGGAGGGACCCAGAAGGCCTGGGATGGGTGTCACCATGGCAATATGTAGGGAGGCAGACCTAATGGGTCTGGGTCTTCCTTTCTCTCCTTCTTGTCCCCCTCCCCCATCCTCCTCTCTCCCTCCCGCCTTCCTGGAACCCAGTACCTGGGGAAAACATGCACAGGTGGGATGGGGGTATCCAGGAAGCTCATAGAAGCCACCATGTTGCTGGAGTTTGCCTAATACAGGGGGGTGGGCATGCCCCACTTGGGGTCATGTATGCGCCTATGTATGCGTGTGTGCATGGGGGTGGGGGATTCTGACCTGGGTCACCCCCAAAGCTTACCCAGGACCCGTCCTGTGCCCCAGGGTCCCCCTGACACCTGCCTGCCTCCCCATCACACCTTTTCCATTTCGAGAACCTTGTCCTGCATCTCCCGAAGGGCCCCCAGTGTCTCTGTCTCCCGAAGCCTTGACTGCTCCAGCTCCGTCTCCAGGTGGGACACGAAGTCCTCTGTGAGGCGTGGGTTCTCCTGTCGGAGGCAGAGAGCTGCGTGGGGCCCCAGGCCATGGCTGGAGGATGGGCAGCCTCCCCAGGGCCCTTCAGCAGAGAAGGGGGCTCAGAAGGGGTCCCAGGCTGGACACCCTGATGCTCGGAGCCGAGGGCCTAGAGGTCCTGGCACCCATGCAGCTGGCCTGATCCAGCTTCTTCCCTGGAAAGGCTGAACAGAGGGGACATTCTGAAAGGGGACTTGATTGGCCTTCAGATGCCCCAAGGGACCCCAGTGACTGTGGTTTTCCGGGATCACTCGTGAGAGTGGGAGATGGGTTCCCGCTGGGTGGTCATGGTCCCAGCCACATGGCGGGTGAGGCCGGGGCTGGGGTAGGGCCTGGAGCTGTGCCCCTATCTCTCCACCTCTCTCCCTCATCCTGCCCCCTATTTTAAAGCAGGGAAGGATGGGGAAAGAGTTTGTGGGGATCACCCTCTTGCTGTGCCCTGGCTTCTCAGAGTTTTCCCAGTGGGGGCCCCCCGAGTGATGGACACTGCCACCTGGACCTGAAAAAGGACACCTGGCCCCTGGGGTGGGAGCCGAGCTCCCTCACTGGCTCTGTAACCTGGCAGGGCAGTTCTCTGGGAGACTGCCTCAGCCCTCCCAGCCACCCACCCTCTTCCTGTGGGTCTCTGAGATCCATGTTTGACAGTGGCCCTGCCTTGGCCCAGATGGCATCCAGGTCCCATGTGGAGGCCCTGCTAGACTGTGGCTCCTCTGGGCCACCTCATCTTGCCTGCAGTGGCCTCCCTTTGGGCCTGAGGAGATGGCCCTGGGCCTCCCTGATCTCGGCATCCCCCAAGGCCAGAACTTAGGGATGGCTGGCAGAG